CAAGAAAAGTATGTCGCATGAGAAATGGGTAATCATTCAAATTGCTTGTTTTAGACATGGCATGGAGATACATTTAATTGAAGAAAAACATAAAGAAGAAGTGAAGCTCTATAACTTACAGCTATCGAAGATGAGGCAGCAAATTGACACTTTACAGTCTAAATTTCAGCAGCAACAGGAACGTAAGAGTCACATCGCAAAGCAATTGCATAAAGTAATGGAAGCGCAATGGCTGGAAGCGCTTAAGATAATTAACAGCAAAAGTCCCATCATTCCGCAAGAGAGAAGCACAACCACCATCGATCAGTTGAACTCCTTAAAATCGAAATCGTACAACAACGTGGAAGAAATCTTGCACGGCGAGGAGCCTCACCCGTTCGAAGCTGAGAAAAATCTGGCCTCCCCAAAAGACTACGATGACCTAAATCTAAGCGCGACCACCCCACTGACCAGTAGGCCTCAGAAAACGCGCCAACAGCTCGATCAAGAGATGCAAAAATACATCCAAATGGTTTAGTACATTTTAACCGATTTCTTTTACTAGCTTTATGTTTGTAGCTCCTCAATAAATCGCCAGGTAATCCGACGGATGATCAAAATTCCAAACGTGACAAATCAAAGCCGCATTCACCCGAGAATGGAGACCTAAATGTACGGTGAAAGAATGTCTATTGTTTAATCCACTTGTATTTTTCAGGCTCAGTTTACTGACGGAGCTAAATTTGCTAAGATGGGGCAGCGCGATCGATTCGGGAAACCCCCGTGGAAATGAATTACTTTTAATTTATTCTATAAGTATTTTTTATACATGACATTATTTTTATACAATTTTTATTTATTAATCATAATTTATACATGTTGATAAATTAGTTTGTTTCGGTACAGTAGTGGGGCGCAGCGTTTGGGAATGCGAACATTGGTCGGTTACATAATATCAAAAAACCGAACACAAGTTTGTGTAGTATTCAATCGCGTTATATTTACTACTGTTTCATAGCAAGGCTTCAAGCTAAAACCGTAAGAAACAACAAGCGCCTACCAGAGTTAATATTTACAGCGTTAAGGTGACACCCTGTATATGCAGAATTTAATTTTTAATCGCACTGCCCAACAATTCGAGTCATCAACAATACCCAAGTACCCTAAAATTGTGTGCTTGATAAATTCGAAATTGCACCCTGTAATGAAGAGACATTCGGAAAATTGCGAAAACTTTGAAAAGTGCTCTTGTTATAGCGCGTTCGCACCTCCCGATGCAGTATGGTGCTTATGGACATACAGTACATGCTTGCCAAATGTGACAATGACGGCACAAGGAGACTATCGCGTTCGCACCCATTTTGTTTTAATACTTCCATTTAATCATATGTCAATTTGACATCAATGCGGTTAGAAACAAGGATAGTATTATTGAAGAATGACGCAAACTATAGTAAGAGAGGCAGTCCATAAGACCCCATACTGCATTTTTACACCTTTGTCGTAGTCGTGACTATTATATGAGACTCTTAATAAATAACTAGATTTTACTTCTAGCTGTCCCTATACTAAAGTCTGGAGGGTGGGGGGGGGGGGGTTGAGGTTAGAGTTTTGCGGTTTTTCGTTTTGAAAATAGTGTGTGTGTAGTAGGAAAAAAATGTCATACTTTTGGCACTGAAAAAGTACCTATCTCATTGCATAAGAGTAGTTTAGAATGCCCATGTGAAGTGTATTGGACACGAATTTTGACGACAGACTGTATCTCGGTTACAGTATCTCGCATAAAGTACCACCGTGCAACAGAACATTTCCTTTCTCACTTGTGTGCCATTGTTTTCTTTTTAGCGCATTTCCCAACTCATGTTGGAAAGCGCTCTTATGGCCACTTTATCCGTCCGTCTGAAGTCTCGCCTACTACAGTTTTCAATATATTTAGTTCGTTCTTTTGTACCTCAGCCAAGAGAACTGTTGAAGGTTAATGTGCATATGCGCAGAAATGTCAACTTTCTTATTTATTGAGATATTGTTTTTGAAATTTTAACCACAGATGCTATAACGCATATAGTAAGAACCAGAACTTTCTTATTTGTAGTGATATTTTTTGAAATTTGAACTACAGCTGGAAATAAAGGCCAGCATATCACATATTGTAAAAATCAAATGTAGTGCGCAATGCCAACGTTCTTATTTACGGAGACACGTTTTAGAAATTTCAACCATAGTATGCTACTTATAGTAAAGAAAAAGTATAGTGCATATTCGAGTCCATGGCCATCGCGCTAAGAAAATCGTGCACCACGAGTTTGTATACCCCCTGGGTAGGCGAATGCTGTTGAGGCACCCCGTCGTGGTTTTCTAATGTTGTCCAAATGCTTTCCTTTCAGTTCCCTTATTTATTACTCTTGGGAACAAGAAGAAGTCTGCCGGGACTACATCGGGGCTGTGGCACCGTTGAAACACTGACCTGGGTCAAATAAGAATTGACAACGAAGGCGGAGTGACTCGGTGCGTTGTCCTGGTGGAATCATCATATGATGACCGGATCTCTGGTCGGACGCCGGGTGACTCTGTGAGTCTTTTGAGAACTTCTTAATATAAGTCCTTGTTATTGACGGCGAATTGTTTTGGATTCTACGCACCAAAATTAATAAGAAAAAGTGTTTTCCCGAGAAATTTTGGTGCAGTCGATTTTTGGTAAAAAAAGGCCTGCCTTTTTTTTGTCCAGAAAAAAAAATTGTCTCAGATCGACCGGGAAAAAACATTTTCTTATAGAATGTGGCATGTAGAATCCATAATTTCAAACAGTTCCAAGATTGGGCTACTGGATCAAAAGCTACAGCCCTTTGAATTTTCTTTCGAAATTGATCTCTAGTCTATATAACTTTTGATTGAGAAGTCTAATCGAAAAAGTACGAATTGTTTTGGATTCTACGTACCAAAATTAATAAGAAAAAGTGCTTTCCCGAGAAATTTTGGTGCAGTCGATTTTTGGTAGAAAAGGAAGGTTATACACTGCCATTTTTGCCCCGCAAAAAAAAATTTTCTCAGATCGACCGGAAAAAAAAACATTTTCTTATAGAATATGTGGCATGTAGAATCCATAATTTCAAACAGTTCCAAGATTGGGCTACTGGATCAAAAGTTATAGCCCTTTGAATTTCTTTCGAAATTGGTTTCTAGTCTATAACTTTTGATCCTGCTTTTGATTGAGAAGTCTAATCGAAAAAGTACCAATTGTTTTGGATTCTACGCACCAAAATTAATAAAAAAAAGTGTTTTCCTGAGAAATTTTGGTGCAGTCGATTTTTGGTAGAAAAGGAAGGTTATACACTGCCTTTTTTTGCCCAGAAAAAAAATTGTCTCAGATCGACCGGGAAAAAACATTTTCTTATAGAATGCGGCATGTAGAATCCATAATTTCAAACAGTTCCAAGATTGGGCTACTGGATCAAAAGCTACAGCCCTTTGAATTTTCTTTCGAAATTGGTCTCTAGTCTATATAACTTTTGATTGAGAAGTCTAATCGAAAAAGTACGAATTGTTTTGGATTCTACGTACCAAAATTAATAAGAAAAAGTGTTTTCCCGAGAAATTTTGGTGCAGTCGATTTTTGGTAGAAAAGGAAGGTTATACACTGCCATTTTTGCCCCGCAAACAAAAATTTTCTCAGATCGACCGGAAAAAAAAACATTTTCTTATAGAATATGTGGCATGTAGAATCCATAATTTCAAACGATTCCAAGATTGGGCTACTGGATCAAAAGTTATAGCCCTTTGAATTTCTTTCGAAATTGGTTTCTAGTCTATAACTTTTGATCCTGCTTTTGATTGAGAAGTCTAATCGAAAAAGCACCAATTGTTTTGGATTCTACGCACCAAAATTAATAAGAAAAAGTGTTTTCCCGAGAAATTTTGGTGCAGTCGATTTTTGGTAGAAAAGGAAGGTTTATACACTGCCTTTTTTTGCCCAGAAAAAAAAATTGTCTCAGATTAGGGAATGCAATACCGGGATCGCGGGATCCCGAAATACCGGGATCCTGCAGCATTTTTGCGAGATTAATCCCGCACATACATGGAGTGAGACCCCGCGGGATTTGCGGGACTGAGGAATTTGTCGACCAAGGGGACGACTCTGTTTAAACTCATCTTTATTGACGGCTAAGCCAATATTTTACTTCTCTCTTTTTTTATGTTTTTTTTACGCTGGTCGCTGGAATATTAACGGCTTTCTTCGGTGACTCTATCATCAATTATACATTCTTCGCAACTGCTTTACTTTTTCTGGACAACCGCCTCTTTTCCCGCTTGTTTCACATTATTATTTCCTTTTCTCGCTACTTTTTCACGCCTTCTTCATGCTTCTGCTTCCTTTTTTACGCTTTTGTTGCATGTACGTCTCTTTATGTCTAGAAGATACTATACCTTCAGAACTCTTCGACACACGCTCCTTTCTTTCTTATTTGTTTGCCCTTTTTTCCTCCTTTACACAACTTCTTCATTCTTGTTAAGTCTGCTTTTTTCTCGTCTACTGCTGTCTTTTACGCTCTCTCGGATCTCTTTACACTTCTTTTTGTTCTTGTTAAGTACCTACGTTTCTTAATAAGCCTTTTTCCGATTACCTCATGCTTTTTTTAATCTTTTTCGCAGTAGGTGTATTCATTTTTTAGGGTTTTTTTTACCTGTGTAGGGGCGGGAAAGAATACCCCTATCGCAGAGGGCACTGCGTGTCGTAAAAGGCGACTAAACAACTGCAAATTGGCCACAACCTGGGGGAGTATGTTATATTGGTGGCACAAGAGTTGTTAGATTAAGACAAAAATTTTTTCTTAATTTTAACGTGTCTAGCTGCTAGGGTACGACTAGGTTTGGTCTACCACTCATTTAGATAGTTGTGAGAGCAAAGGGCTGCACAGTTGCCAATTTTCTGCTGTTAGTGAGAGTCTTTAAGCATTTTGTGCTCGCGGATACCATTGGTATGAGTAACTCGCCTCCACCCACATATAGTTCATACAAAAAACAAATAAGGAGTAAAAAATTTATTAAATACAAAAGAATAAAAATAAACATGAACTGCCAAACAAACAAGCTTCATTGTAATCTCTAATGTCATCTTTTCGAATTGTGGTTTTCCCTTCTTCTTTCCCTCGAACGACTTTTGTCCCGCCTGCTCCTATCCGATCTCTTATCAGAACGTTTTCGATCACTCCTGTCTCTTCTATGATGGCGATCGTACTCCTTAATACGTCCGTTGTCATCTTTATTACTTTTGATGTATGAATCGTCAGTCTTAGAGCTAGAACGTGAAACGCTGCTCCGTTTAGTTTTGTGTTCCTTGCCATCATCATTCTCAACTAGTTTCAGCTCCTCGCCACTTTCCAACCGCATTTTATACAAGTCCATCTGACCAGTAATGATTTCACGTAAGACTTCGGTGTAGTTTTTGTGATCAGTGAAAACTCCCTTGTATTTAGCTCGCCGTCTTTTAATATCCCTTTCAAGCGCCAACAGTTGCTCATGTGTCAAATTTTGAGTCTGCTTAGGTGGTTCATACCTAAAATTTTTCAAATTGCAACCGTTTACAGAAAGAAATGATCCTTACGTTTTAAATTCAGGTGGTTTTGGAGGTCCTTCCGTATTTGCAATGGCGTAATCGTATAAGACTAAACGTTCATCTGAACTAAAGGTACACATTAATCGATTGGAAGTCTTAGGATCAGGATCTTGACCGTTCCACCCTGAATATGAAATGCAATGTTATTATTTATCAATGCGCTGTTAGTTGGAGCATCGTTTTTTTAAAGGATATATAAAAAGGATATAGTTTTCTACTTATTGCAAGAAAAAACAAAAGCATAGAATTAAAAGTGAAGTCTTGTCTGAAACAAATTACAGCCGTTACTTAAACTACCACGTCTTTCTACACGAAAAAATTGGTATACACACCTGATTTAAAATTAGAAGACGCTCTATGCGCATTCGATAATACATCAATTTTCATATGATCATCTGAAAAAAATCTGTGATTGTAATTGATACCGACGTTTGCTAAACCATTTACCTATAAATATTGAACTCTTTGGATTATGTACAGGTTCCGAAAGAAAATCCTCGTCTAGCATATAACCGTCTTTTCGTAGAGAGCATTTGTGGATATGTTCGTCGGCCGAATTAATATGTACTCTATGATGAGGGTCGACGGAGCATTTTATTAGCTGATTATCCTGGAATGGCACAAATGCTGTAGGGGGGCCAGCAAAAGGGATCTTATGATTACCTACCTTAACAAGATCTTGTACATTCCATTTCAAACGGTTTAAAACAGAGGTAACCTTCCCCCTTGATGAATTTATGTAATGTTCTAAACTTTCTAATTGTTTTAAACGTACGTCCAAATTAAAATCCATTGCAGGATTACGGTTTTGAAGAAATTATGAATCAAATAAATTCACTCAAGAAAAAGCCAGTGAAAGATGGTTGATAGTGTCTATTAGACCGGACCGGGATCTAAAAAATCGGCCATTATGTGTTTATTGTGACGCAATGGCCTCCTTGATTATACACAGTGTATAATCAATTGTTTATTTGTAATTTTTCTTAAAAATAATTTATCAAAGACATACGATATAGATACAAGTCACAAATTGTAATTAGGGTATTTGCAACATGACAACACTGAATAATTAGCCTTCAATAATCATTCCAGTGAACATCTTTTTTTTTTAAACAAAATTTTCCAAGTGATACCAACAAAAGAAAAAAAATGTTTAAAACAATAAACGGTTAATTTGTAATTGTATTTGTAAAATAATACCACAGCAATAAATTAATTAATATAGTATACATGTTAAAACTAAAAAGCAAATAGATTGCCTTACTTGCATCAGCATAAAATCACAATATTATCAACTATCTACATCATACATAAGTTTAGGTACTGCGAAATTATTACTAAATAAAATCTATATAAAACAGGATATCGACAATTACTGAAATAACATTGTTAAAAATATATCTACAAGTTTTGTAATCATATGGTTACAGATTTTTGCCTAGCATCAACAATTACGTTGTACTTTACTACACCAGTGCAGATGCAGGTAGTGAACTATGTTTCGGTTTCATCTTATTTATGAACACTTTGATGCATCCGTTGAAATCTGCAGATATTAAGACATGACCACCACACCCTTTGGTGTGCTGCTCAACCATAGGGTCTTCAACCTAAAATTATTCAACAATCACATCAAAGATATAGTGCCCCTTAAAATGAGCTACCTTATCATCCTGGTCCTCGCTGACATTTTGTTCATCAACCATTTTTATAATATCATCCGGATTTGGTGCAAATATGGCACACGTAACCACCGCATTATGAGCTTTAATAGCCTCCCAAAAATCGTTTCTATCCCTGCGTACTGACGAAAATTTGGAATAATCGTGGTTCGTTTTCCATACATAAATATCGCGATTTTCAGATCCACTCACTATATACTTTCCATCATGACTAAAGCTCGCCTTAATTTGACTGCTAATGTTAACATAGCCTTTATACTTGCAAGACAGACTAAGGTCACGAAGATCGTACAATCGAATTCTGCTGTCATTAGAAGTAACCAAAATTTTATCCTCTCCCGGCATGGGTTCAATGCCGCTAATTTTACGACCGGTCGCATTTCTGCCGCGTGTAGATCTCACATGAATCTGTGTGTGGTATTTCAATTGGTCGGTATTATAAAAGATACATCTACCATCATAAGAACCGACAACGGCGAATTTACCATTTTGGCAAAAATTCGCGGCAGTAATTAATTTTGGTGTACCCTCAACTTCATTCCAAACGGCAACCTTTTTATCCGGAATATTCCACAGACGCAATTTACCGTCTAGGGAACCGCTGAGAAAGTACCTGTCATCTCTGGGATGGAAAACAATAGCTGTTACAAAATCAATGTGTTGAAAACAACACAGACATTCCTTTCTCGAAATGTGCCACAGACGTACAGTTTTATCCATTGAAGATGACAAGATGAAGTAATTTTTGGACCACGAGACGTCCAGTAGGTCCGATGTATGACCTGTATATGTGCAAAAGGGCTTTGACACAAAAATATGCTTGGTTCCCTCTTCTTTTAAAGCTTCAGCTATTAGGCTATGCTCATCGGCCGATTGATGGGAAACTAGCGATTCCTGAGAAGGGGTAGGAGATACCTTTTCAGCATTGTATTTAGATCTCATATCCTACAAGTTAATCAAGTTAATTCACTCAAATTAGCTTGAGCCTACTCTACCTGAAAAAATTGGAATGCATTTTTAACTACCCATATCCGCAAGACCTTATCTTGACCTGCGGTGGCCAGCAAGCGACCACAACAAGAGAACTTCATACACCAAATGGGACCCTCGTGTTCATCTTTTAATTCTTGAACATGTTGAATGTTTTCCAATTCATAGGGACCTTTGTGCGAATTCGAGGCCTGTAAGACAGATCCTTGTTGTAAACTGAGTAGGGCGATTATCGATTTAAAAGAAACTTTTGTGCTAGGTTTGTGTCTTTTCACCTAAATAATAAAATTTGTGCTAATTTGTGTAATTTTTGGTTACAATGGCACATATAATTTTGAGAAAATGATTTTTCAAACAAAAAAATAGCATGGAATTTTTTAAAACCAGGAATTTTAACATCTCGATTCATCTCAATGATTCAGTAATTTCTTTCGCATCTGGGCTTGTTTTTAACTGCAATGTACTTACTTTTTGGAATATCATCCAGAGTAAATGAACTAAAATTGTGTAATTTAGCCACAACCAAAAGGGGCAAGACCTCCTTCTAGGTGGAGTTGAACCCATCCTGCCCACCTAATGGGTCTAATGAGGACATGGTATAAAATGTAATACTTTGCCCATTTAATCTAATCTTCATTCTGAATAATACAAGTTATCCAGTTGATTTGGCACACTTTGCTTTTTAATGAAAAAAAATGTAAGTCTCTTCAAAAAATGGTAAGTGTAGCGAAAAAATGTTATCCGATATCCCCGCTAGATTCCGCAATAATCGACTGTTTCAAAATAAATGAGATACCCTGTATATAGGGTTGCCATCCGTCCGGGTTTCCCCGGATTTGTCTTAGTTTAGGGGGCGTCCTGGCGGGGTTTCATTGGTAATCCGGGTTTTAAGCTACTGAGGCATCTATGAGTTTCTGTCAAAATGTAAGCCAACAAAACTTTTAAGCGCCAATCAGCTTTGGTTACAATTTTTTAAAACACCGAATCCTCATTTATACTTGGAGTTATTGAAAATTGCCTAGTGCTTTTTTGCATTCCTGCTCATAATGACCCCGCTGGACCTAGCCCCCCCAAGTAAATCTCAACTACTATAACCTAATCACGGCATTTTATTTTTCTGCCGCGCTGTGTTTAATATTTTTTTAAACACATTATTTATTAAACTGTTCCAAGGAGGCTTATATTTTTAGAATACGTAGTGGCTTTTTAATTATATTTTTTTGTAGGCGATATCGGCGCTAGTTCAAAGTTTATGGTCATTTGAACAATTTTTTTGTAAATAGAATTCTAGATTTTTTACCGTAATTCAATTTTTTGTCCGTTAGGATGAATTTTTTGTTTCAGAAAATGAATGGCCATCTTTTATTTATGCGAAAATGATACACTTGCCCTAGTAGTCATAATTTAGCAGTTATGACGACCAATAACGCGTGCGGCGTAAGAAAAGTTTACCCCCTCCCCCTCCCTCACAGCAGCGTGTCTCCCCCTGCCTCCCGGATGATTTCCATTCGGGGTCCACCTAAGTAGAAAGTGTACCAAATCTGGTGCTTTAATGACAAAAATATTGGTGTTGGCGTATAACGACCCCACTATGCATAAAAATTAATTTGAAATAAGTAAACAATAACAGAGGAGGGGCTACGTCCAAGTGGAACTGGCCGCCCCATCGATTATATCTATTTGCCCTTTTAAGGGTGGCGCTCAAAAATCGAAATTACTTACTTGTAAATGAAAGCTCTTAAATAGCTCGTAATTCCAGTACAAATTTAATTTGAACAAAGTAATTCTGATCAGTGGGGGGGGGGGGGGCTAGGTCCAGCGGGGTCTCATAATGCCAACGTTGAAAGAAAATGTTCACTAGTGACATAACAGTGGACCAAAGAAAGGAATTTATTGAATATTGAAACATTCTAGTCAGTGGTAAAAATAAAGTACAATTTCAAAGACTATTTCTTTAGACACTATTTTTTTATCAAATTCAGTTGATATGTCCGGGTTTATAATCCCTAAATCCGGGGTTTTCACGCTTCCTGTCCTAGTTGGCAGAGTTTTGAGATGGCAACCCTACCTGTATATAAATTAATTAAGTGACATTCAAATATAAGATTACGAAACTGGTAGTTGCAACTCACAAAAAAATGACTGTCTCATTTATACCAGGTGCAGTTAAACCCCAATCAATTAAATCATTCCCTGAAAGTGATATCTTTTCTAGGCAAAAATGCTTGCTTCAAAATTATATACCTACAGGGTTATTCACCTAGCTAGCCCGTTCGTAGAAGCGTTTAAACTTCTGAATTCTGGTTTACAACCATAATCAACCATTACGAATTGAAATAAAATATAAAATAATTCCAAAATGGCGTCGCGTCCGTAAAGACCGGAAGCGGCCACATTTACCACATTTACAACATACCATTTTTTTCTAAATGCGCTATTTGATCTACATTCAATGCAATTATGATTTAAGTACTGTAGTGAGACAGAGTTAAATACACTAATTATTATACGACCCACCTTACATTTACATAGCGTTCATATACCGATTTTAATTCATTAAAGACCACTCTTTTTTGTGATCGAATCGTTAATACTCAAAAAATTTTTTGAGTGATCGCTGAAAGTCTTGAAAGAGTTTCCACGGCTGCTGCGATTTTTCAAAGTTAGCAAACAAAAAAATGATGGTAGATTACAAAGAAAACAAAATATGTGGATAATTACATAACAAAACTGTTTTGTTAAAAAAAAATTGTCATGTAAATTTAGTTTAGTAAAAAAAATGCAGATTGCAGCACATAACTATCCTACCTTCAATTTTATATTTTGTTCTCCAGGATGTACTTCATCAACAATATCCATAATATCCTCCTTATGTCGTGCGTGTGACATTTCATGAGCAATAGATTTCGCTTTGTGCATAGTTTTTTTAACCGTCGACCCAAATAACCTCTTCAATTTAGCGGTTTTTTTTCGTACTCGCCCAATCTCTATATCATTGTCATCATCAAGCGGTATATCCATTTTTTTATTGCCTATCACACTTTCTTCATCAGACTCTTTCTCTTTATCCAGACTAGAATTGCTTACATATTCCGACGTTAGCCTCATAATATGTAAAGATAACGGATTGATGCATTGAGGTAGTTTCTCTTCGGCTATACTTAAAGGAACGCGTTCTCCCGTATCCAAATTTAACACGGTCACTTGCTCGAGAATTTCTTTATCTGAGAGATGCTTTCCAGAATCTGTCCTTGTTCTTACGTATATATTTAGTTGTTTCAACATGTTTTCGTCGCCGGCCGATTTTCTTCTCTCCTTAGACTCGGTAGTGTTGTGCCGTCTTGAGCTTCTAAAATGTTGTTGCGATTAAAACGACTACAAAATTATCGACTAATAACCTGTGCGAGCCCAAGCTGTAATGGCCAATACTGCTTCGACCAGCAGAACATCTTGGACTGTGTCGAAGTTCACTGTCAGCGTTGGACTGTGGTATGATGATGTCATCTGCAGTTGGGGGCGCTGCTTTCGATTTATCATCGTCTTGTGGTTTGACCACGTATAAACCCTTAATTGCTTGCCTTATATCCAGCGAATGTATGGATTTAATGGTACTCGACCTTGAGGACTCTCCACTTTTATCATGCTGAATTTTTGGTTTTGTTACCGGAAGTTTATCCAATGAATCTTCAAACTCTCTAGTCAAAGATTCTATCGTGCTAGCGGGGCTAGCCAAACAGGAAGATGATTGTGTTGTACTTGACAAACCCTTTAAGCACTCACATTTCAGTTCCAATAACCTAATAGAACCAACTTACCGTCAGTGATAGGGAAGAAATTGCATTTTTGATTTTTCGTTTACGTCGCGGTGGCGCAATCGGAATATTTTGCGGAAACGGCGAGTAGTGGCACACAGTCGTCGATTTTATCATGCTAGAAATAGACGGTTTTGTGCTGGCAATGACATCAGGCTCTTGCAACGGAAGACAAATGGTTTTCTCTGGAACATTATTGTCTGACAAAGTGGTATTGCTTGGAAATTGGGATATTTCTTTTGAACTGGGAGTTGAGCCAGATTCATGCGAACTCAATGAGAGTGTGGATACAGATGCCTTTTTTCTGTTTGATGGAATATCTCCCAGCGCTTGAAGTGAAATATTATTATTAGAAAAACGCAACAAGGGTGTTACTTACGATCATGTGCATTGCCTAGTACGCGGCCCATTCGATTTAAAGAATTAATACTTTGTAAACTAAGCGTATCATGCTCGATTATTCGAAAAGGATGAGATGTACGACTAGTAGCTGCAAATACACCCTCGACGGACGATGTTTGACTATTGGGAGGGGTTAAGTTGTTAACGGGACAATCTTCATCGTCCGTCTGTAACCTTTGTCGTAGTTCTTTGAAACGCTGACGTCCAACAACAATATTAGGCTTCACCTACAAAACATAAAATTTAGACCGAGACCAAAATATAAAAATGTTAAGGGCGAAATGACTAACTACATGGAACGAGAACTAAAATGAGAACTAATTAAAACTACCTAAGTACTATTTTCCTATGAGTTTGTTTGAATAATGTTTCAATACTTTCTTTCATTAAAAACCCAACCATGTTATTATAGCTATAGCTAGTTAATTATAACTAATCTTGGTCAAAGTACCTTTGCTTATTAATTATTTAATTTGCTAATATTGCAACATTTCAGACTTTTTTTACCTTCAAATTTATTTGTCCACCTAAGCTAGTTACAACACGGCACGTCATTCTTGATGGCAGTGTGCGCCCAGAATAGTTCTATTCGCGATTCAAATTAACAGTGTGCCCTCTGGCGGCAGTACATTGTAATTAATACAGGTGGGAGACCACCATTTTTTTTATTTATAATGCCCAAAAGTAATCAGTATTGAAGTGAAGGTTTGTAGGGTGAGTTGCCTACAAACCTTCACTTCAACACCACCCAAGGCCGAAAGAAAAATCTTTTAAGTAATCAGTATTGTAGTGTTTGCGGCTGTAAAAGTAATTGCACTTGCGGAAATTTCATTTGCAATCAATGTATTGTATTGTATCATATGGGTGGCACTCCCTAGGTACAGATTAGACCACCAAAAATAGGAGATATATATGTCATTCTTTGCCACACTCCACTTTGAATAAGTTTCTATCCTTACGTTCACCAGACGAAGTGCTTCATGAACGGTACCTAAAGGAGGAAATACTCGACACCTCGCGACAGTGTGATCAGACAGCAACTCGCGCGACAAATCGTTCCGATAATAAATAAATAAATAAATCTTAAAAATTATAACCAATCACGATAAGGAGCCGGGGTGGAAAGCTGTGGGTGGTAGAAATTAATTCCTTTCATTGAGATCTTTCATTAGAGTACCATGAAGGATAAAACCAATTCTTCTCATTCCCCCCCCCCCCTCCCCCTTCCAACCCGCAAGTTGGTAGTTCGTAGAAAACAGTACCTTTTGGTAACACTCTTAATGTGAATACAATGACAGATAAAAACAATTGGCGGGGGGAATTCCTTACAATGAAAGCTTTCATTAACTTACCATGAAGTGCCCCCCCCCCCATTTTCAGTTGTAACATCTGAGACAAATTGGTTGTTGCATTTAAGCATGTTTTACTTCCGGTTACTTCCGGAAATGTCGTGGGAAGTAATTTGGGACGTGCACAGCTCCCCTCCCCCCTAGGGCAACAAGATTTAAAGGCCGTCAGGCACGCCAGAAAGGTATAGCCTACTTATAGCAAACATTTTCAGGACAATTCCCCTAAAAGTGGAACTGTTTGAAATTATGGATTCTACAGGCCACATTCTATTAGAAAAAGTTTTTTTCCGGTCGTTCTGAGACAATTTTTTTTGCGGCCTCAAAAAAGGCAGTGTACAACTTTCCTTTTTTTTCCAAAAATCGACTGCACCAAAATTTCTCGGGAAAACACTTTTTCTTATTAATTTTGGTGCGTAGAATCCAAAACAGTTCGTACTTTTTCGATTAGACTTCCCAATCTAAAGTTATAGACTAGAAACCAATTTGGAAAGAAAATTCAAAGGGCTGTAACTTTTGAACTAGTAGCCCAATCTTCAAACTGTTTGAAATTATGGATTCTACAGGCCACATTCTATAAGCAAAATTTTTTTCCTGTCGTTCTGAGAGGTTCAAATCTGCAGAAGTGGATTCGGACAGACGGACAAAACGTAAACAATATTACATTTAAAAATGCTTTATAAAAAAAAGTTTTTGAAAAATTTCGGTTTTCATTTCCTCTAGCCTAAATGGTGGTCAGAAATGGAGGGTTCTCGTTAGCATCTTCTATGGACACTTTCTTTTGAAAAATTTGAATCTGTTAACAGAATTTCTATAGCACGCTAGATGTAGAAGCTATATAGGCTACTATAAAAAATACTTTTTTATTTCTTATGGATACCATATTGGATTTTTACGGAACGATATACTGGAAAAAAAAAGAAGAAAAATAGCTCCTATACATAAATTTTCAAAAAAAATTTCAAAATCAAAAGTGTTACCATGAAATTATCATGGGGATGCAATCAAATGAAATTCTTTTTTTGTCCTCTATTTCATTACAAAACAATCCGATATGTGGCGCCCATAAGAACTAATAAATTAGTAGCCTGTATCTTCCACAACTGGCGTGTTATGGAAATTTGATCACAGGTTTCGATTCTGCGAAAAAAATGCTCATAGAAGCTGCTAACGGAAACCGTCCATTTCCGACCGTATAAGCTAGGACAAATGACAACGAAATTTGACATTTTCAGTTTTTCGGTGATGTTTCAGTTATTTTTCAAATTTGATAAGCGTTTTTTTTAGTCACAAAAAGAGGCAACTTTTCCCCCATTTAACCTACACTGTATCTCTCAATGTTACAGAGATTCCAATAGTGAGTCACCAATTTGAACTACCCTGTACATAAATAAGATAGGCTTTTTTATTCGTGAATACATCACTGGAGAGTGGAGATATGTCATAATGCACTTTCATCTTTGGTGTGAGTGGTTGAGGGGGTAAAAAGCTTTTAGCTCTAGTTGGCAGTTGTAGACGACCATCAGTTGAAAGAATTGGCAAAGAAGTTCCAAATAGATGTACTTGCTTCTGGATTTCGGTAACACTACCTCTTTGTAGTGGGCCATGGGCGAGTATGGCGCTGGGATTCACTAAGGGCCATTCAACACCTATTCCCACTCTGCCATTTAATGGTATTACTTATAATGACTCTGGGTAGAAATCTAATTTGACACTCTGGTACCTCTTTTGCTTTCTAAAATAATTTCTTCATACGAAGACGAAAATGAAGACGAAAATTGAAATTCAAAATTTTGTGCTATGTGAAAATATTTCTGATCAAAGCTCACAGACCATTTATTCAGCACAACTGTGTTTGTGCTGCCAGATTCTCCTACGAACCACACGAGATGCAAAGACCACCATAGTGAGGACCATGGTTTGCTTAACTTCTATGAAATGGTGTAAGCAAAGAATTCACTTTCAGTACCAAGAAATATATCCAAAGACATTTATTGACCAATTTCAGCCACATCTTAATTTCTGGCAAATCGTCACAATGTAACAAAAGGTAACCAGCTTATAACTTATTACTTCAGATTATCAATAAACTTCGAGTGCATTTAACTGATGAGGAAAAAAAGGTGGGAATTCCTCGAAATATTGATTACCAGATTGGTGAGAATGTGTATTTTAATCTACTACAGCTCAACCTTAGTACTTACAAATAATTCGTCGTTAATTTCAGGTTCTTTCTCTTCGAGCTGCTGCTTGTAAAGCGATATATTCGGCTCCGAATTAGTCCTGTGGGGTTCTTGCGGTTTGCCATTTTTCCTTTAAAAATAAAAAGCGGGAGTTACAACGTCCAATGAAAACGTCGCATTTCAAACACGTGATCAGATGTTTCTAGATTTCAAAAGAGACAAACTGTCAAAGTTTGTTTTTTGCCCAATTGTTTATACATTTACGGTCGGGTCAAAGATTAAATGAGCGTTAAATTAGTTAGAATTGATTGAATGAGAATACCGGTGAAGGTGAGTGAAAATATGATTATGGCCGATACCTGGTGGTCTGTGTTTGAGGGTTGGGCGATGTGCTGTCTTCCGCATCGTAAAACTCGTCGGAGTCGCTGCTGCAGGACATCGCTTTGAAGGCGGTTTTACTTTACCTTTGGTTGCGAACTGAAATTTTCTACCATTTTCATTTTACGCCATTTTTTCTGGCTGTCAAAAACGTGTTGGTATTACAGAATTTGTCCGAGAGTTTTACATTACAGAACAGTAGTTGCATTACCGACGGGGTTGTCATTTGAACTTGTTTTTATTCGTTTTAGAGGCAGAGCACAAGTCGAACTCGTATCCAACTCAAGGCTGTTTCCTCACCCAAGAACCAAATCAACATGGAGGATATATTTGTGGAAGTATGCGGCGAAAACGGTGCTCTTTATAAGGTTCGTATTGCAAAAGTATAAGGAATTATTGCTCATAAATGAATCGTAGAAATGCATGAAGTGTGTACGCCTTTTACAAATCGGTAGTTTCTAGTAGCACGTTGATACTTAATTGATAATCATAGAAAATACTGGGATCGGTACGCGGTGTTTCTGACGCCATGACCATTTTGACAGGGCGTGAATATCCATGTGTCTTAAAATAAATGTATCTCATCTTTAAAATATCTTTTTCACTTATCTTTGTCAATGATTCATCAACTCAAATTCACTAATCGCCTATTTTATACACAATTTTACTAACCTCTCGCAGATTTCTCGCGGTATCAAATTACTAATAAAAGTCTTTTTAGGCCACTGTCTTAGATGTATTGGATGATGAAATTTTAGTACATTTCGAAGATGAGTAAGTATACCGAGGTTGTAAACCAAATCTAAATGTTCGAACGCTTGCAGGTGGCAACCAGACCAAAAATTTCCTTATTCACAAGTGCGATTTCCACCTAAACAGGAAGCAAAAGTGGAATTTGTGGAAAATCAAGAAGTGGAAGTGTTTTCGCGATGTTCCTCACAAGAGGCACACGGTTGGTGGAAATGTAGAATTAAGGTGAGTTATTTCGTATTGTAGTGGCCGTTACGATCATTCGAAACGGCTTACATTCATTTTATTTACAATCCCAACGAAAGGGTCGGTATACGTGTCTTTCGTGGCAAAATTCCAGGACCTACTTCGCAGTAGCGACTGGTAGTACCGGAACCTTATCAGTTTGTTTACAAAATGAACGGTGTAAGGTGACTTTAAAATCCCCGAATTGTCATGGTTGTCATTATAAAACCGTTCACTCCCCGTTCTACTAATATGACATTGGCAACACTGTTGAGAAAACGTGTCAATTGAGACTCTTAGTTCAGTGGCGTAATTTAAATCTGTTTGTGATGAATGGGTGTGTGTTTGCTAGAAGGATTCAAGTAAACCGCGCAAATTCTTTCACTGCTCATCATACGCTCTCGCCACGGTAGGTAGGTATGGTCGGGTGTGGTTTTGAAATCGTCATTTCAAAGTTGAAGGTGTAAATTATGTTTATGACTCTAATCCCCGCAGTGGCGGATCCAGGGAATTTTTTAAGGGGGGGCATATAATGTCAATATAACAGCCAATTGAAAAAGGATACCTAGAGGTGCGGTAGATCAAGTTTGCATTTCAAACATGGCCATTTTATAATATGCCTCCCTATCTGTTATGAGGTCGTCTCACTAAACGAGGTAAATGATGCTCAATGTCCAGCTGGGTTGCTGTAGGTATTTGTTGCACTTTGATGAAGCGAAAAAATGCTGTTGCCCTTTTGTTCTCCAATATTTCGAGCCTCTTATCATCGTGGAAGCTTTATTCAAATATAATTTAGGCGCTGGGTCAGTTCTATACCGGGTGGTCCAGCGCTGCTCAGAAAATTATGATATTTAGTGGTTGAATTACCTATGTATCCCAAGCTGAGAAATATCTCATTAATTTTTTTATTGCTTACGGTTTAGAAATGGCGGCCATTTTTGTTTTAGCAGGTATGCCAAATAACAGTGGTGAGATGTTTTCCCTTTAAAAGTTACAGCTTTTTAAAAGAAGAAACAGCTAAGGAAGGTTCTATTTGATTTACAAAACAATGCCACATACAACCAGCTTAAAGGATTTTCTTTTTTTTTTCTCTTTTTTTAAACTAATTCATTCACTTGTTTTTTATTACTATAATAATTAAATATTCTTTTTTTTCCCCATTATTTTATGTCGGTGTTGGTTTATGTTGCAACTTATATCCTGAAATAAGTTACACTCGGAGTTACGGCCGGCCCGTGTAGCGCAGTTCAGTGGAAGCTCGACTGCGGTACAGGGTCCCTGGTTCGAATCCGGGTTCGGGCATGGATATTTGTAAATGTATAGTGGGTTGGGTTGGTAGAGCAGCCTCGGCTGAAACCCCGCCCACTTAAAAATAAAGGCAAAATAAATAAATTATAGAGGTTGAGTGGAAGAGCAGCTCAGCTGAACTCCACTTCTACTTTTCCTTGCTTGAATCATTATTTACTTCTGTAGTACTATCAATAAAAAATACTGTTATTATTATTACTTTGATTAAAAAATTTTTTATTTTTTTCAATTTTTGACCGCCAATCTCTCTAAGGAACCCAGTAAAAATTTGAAAGTAGCACACACAAAAGGTCTTCCATGAAGTGAATTTCAATCTTGGGATTCTGTTAGAAGTAATTGTTTTTAATGTTCAATTTCAGCAAAAAAAAACTGTATAATGCGTGTATTTTCACTTATAGATTGAAACTATTATTTGTATTTAGCTAATTTTTTTTAATGGGTTATATTATACACTGTCCATTTTTCGAGTGCCACTATGGGGATCTCAGTTATCTTAAGAGATAGAAAGTTGGTTAAATGGGGGCAAAGTTGCCAATTTTCGTGCTGAATAAGAATCTGAAAAGACATTTCAAATATCTTCAATAGTTTTGAAGATATCTCAAATAAACAAAAATTTCTGATTTTCGCTTTTATTTTTTTTATGATAAACTAATCGTAGTAGACATTTCTAATTAACACATTATTCGGACACTTTTTAATGGAGATTTCAAATATGGCATCCTGTTTTTAATAACTCTCCAGATGACGGAGAAACACGTGGCAACTTTAGTTTTTCTTATGGGCACCATTTTGAATTTTTACATTTTGAGATTACGTCTTTTTTTCTCTACAACGATATATCACACATTGTGGTTCAGTATCACATTTTTCCTAAAAATACAATTTTTAATTTTTTGAGAAGAATGCTTTGGAAAAACAAAACGTTCTTTTGTTGTGAACAAAAGGTTGACTTATTTCATGTACTGTCACTTAGGTTTATGCTAGTTGTAATGCGAAAATGCCTTTTTCAAGTGCAGATCAAAGAGATATGATGAAAATTTACTACACTTCTCATCGAAATGCCCACATATGGCTGCTGCAACATACTTGCAGCGTTATCCAGAGGGGCAACAACCTAGTTTGAGGTATTTTTCTTTGCTGCATAAAATCTTGGGCGAATATGGTTCTTTTAAAAGATGTAGACAGCAATATGGTGATAGACCCAATTAATTTGAGCAGGCAATTTAGCAAGCGGTTGAGATGAAAATCGAATTTCTACTTCTCTGACAACGCTGCAACCAGACAGATGGATCAAACTGTCAAACTTTTGTTGACAACAAAAGAACGTTTTGTTTTTCCAAAGCACTCTTCTCAAAAAATGAAAAATTGTATTTTTAGGAAAAATGTGATACTGAACCACTACGTGTGATATATCGTTGTAAAGAGAAAAAAATACGTAATCCCAAAATGTCAAAATTCAATATGGCGCCCATAAGAAAAACTAAAGTTGTCACGTGTTTCTCCGTCATCTTGAACGTGATTAAAAACAGGATGCCATATTTGAAATCTCCATTAAAAAGTGTCCGAATAATGTGCTAATTAGAAATGTCTACTACGACTAGTTTATCATAAAAAAATTAAAAACGAAAATCAGAAATTTTCGTTTTTTGTGATATCTTCAAAAGTATTGAAGATATTTCAAATTTCTTTTCAGATAACGGATTCAGCACGGAAATTTGCAACTGTGCCCCCATTTAACCAACTTTCTATCTCTTAAGATAAGTGAGATCCCCATAGTGGCACTCGAAAAATGGACACAGTGTATTGTCCTAGATACAGGGTGTTCCTAAATATGTTGTAAATAAGGAAGGGGAAAAATTCTTTGGTTTATTTTGATTAAAAGTTCACATAACCATAGGTCAGCAAATGCTTTGTTACCAATGTACAGTGTTATAGTTTTATCGTACACTTTACAATGTAAACCTTTAATTTATTAACATAATATGTAATCACAAGGTACAATTTTCAATGTCAACTGTCAAAACTAATAAAGACATATTTTTTAAATATTTTTCATTTAGCTACTTGACTATCAAAAATTGATTTTTATTTTTTCTCTCAATAACGGTCACAAATATGACAAAATTATCAGGTTTCTCTAAGCCCGGCGAGCAGGCGTCCTGAGTTACTCACATGCGGCAGGTATGAAAATGTCACAAACTTTGGACCTATTTTACAAGGGCTGCCATTTGATAATTTCAAAATATACAATTAATTAAATATAAAAATAACAGACCATTATAGTGCTTCCAAGGTCATGACAGACACTAAATTCACAACTCTGCTTCTCTGTCTCTAAAGTCTCTGTTCCTAGAGAACAAAAAGAGACAAGGAATTTGACGAGTTCAAGGATCAGTGCTATTGTATATATGCCGGATTAAAAGTCTGGTTTCTGAATGGAAAAAAATCCTTGAAAATCGTATGTGATTCTTCGTATATTGTTATACAGGGTGTCTTTAATTTAGTAGGATATCATGGCTATCTTTGCGAGTATCTTTGTTATTTTAATACTTACTTACAGATTTGGTCAAATTGGCAAAGATGTGTAGTTTTTGATGCTGATGGATTTTCCGATGTGATATTTTGAAAAAAATAATTTGTTTCGTAGATAATTTGAAAAAAGTGAAAATTGCCATTTTTAAAAAGTTTAAATATTTTAGTAACAAAGAGAGCTAGAACGAAAAAAGTTTCAAATAAAAGTTGCAAGATTCGATGGGATAAATTCAATGGATGCAGAAAAAAAATTTTTTAAATGGCGGTTTTCGAGATATTGACATCTTTCTTATTTTAAATGGACACCATTATAAAACCAGTGATACTAAACAACTTTCATTTGGGAATCAAACTTGCATTTTTTCCTCGAAGTTTACAATGTATTTCTTATGGAAATAATTCCATGGCTGATTATGATTGAAACCAAATTCGTTCGTTTATTGTCTCGCATAGTCACTATCGACACGGCCATGGAATTTGCAACATTCCTACTGATTACAATGGGGATTTACGATAATTCAACCGGGTTGGTAGATTTTGGTATTTTTACAATTATTGCAACAATTGTTTCTATAGTGATTTCTACAAATCAGGTTAAAGCGGTTGAATTATCGTAAATCCCAAATACTTATGTCTCTATAAACTATAATAATTATTATTATTATTTTTTGACATAACTAATTTTAAGGGCGGATTATGTTTAAAAATTATTGCGTAATTGCAATATAATCTCTTCCTTGTCATTATATCGCAGTCCAAATAGCAACTCGTTAATTTTCTTTAAACACTTAGAATTAACATTACACCTTATTATCAACAAATATCCGTCGTACAACATAATTCTGTCCGGGGACTTTAACATAAATTTTCTGGCAGAATCCAATGACAAAACAGCTCTATTCGACCTTACAAATTCATACTGCCATTTTCACTGAAGCAACCAGATTTACAAAACGAAGCGCTACTGCAATCGATTACATTTTTGCAAACCCAGATATTCAAATTACGAATAAAATTGTTGTGGAGAACGGATTATCAGATCACACGTTACAGTGAGTTGAATTACTCACCAATCGTCACCCCCACCAAAACACTACCTATGAATATCGATCTTTTTCAAATAAAAATATCGAGATATTTTTGAATTTGTTAAAGCAGGAAACGTGGTTACCTGTGTATAATCCAAATCATGAGATTGAAAATAAGTTTTGCTTTTTCTACAATAAAGTCAAAGATTACTTCAAAACGAGCTTTAAAGTCACTCCCAAACCTCAAATTAGTAATGATTGCAATAAGAACTGGCTTACAAAAGGTTTAATAATCTCAGCAACCAATTTAAAGGAATTACATCTAAGTAAGTAAAATTAAATTGATGCTGATTATTACCGAAAATATAAGTCAATATACAGAAAAACAATAAGAACTGCGAAGAAACTGTCATTGAACAAACAAATCTTAAATTCAAATTGCAAATCTAAGACTCTAAGACTGGAAAATTATTAATAAAAATAGTAAACCATCTAAAATAAATAATGTCTCCAGCATAACTATCGACGGAATCGAAGTTACAAACAAGACTCTCATATCTAATGAATTTAATAACTATTTTATCAATTTACCGAAAGAACTATTTTCGTCACAACAAAACAACAGAACTGACTCTTGTCACTCTTCACTGGATATTGAGCAAAAGTACTTACATTCCATAAACCCGAAATCTTTCTTCGTTAGACCGGTTAGCGAAACAGAAGTTTTAAATGTAATTAATAATTTTAAAAATACGTACTTTTCTGGTCCATATTTAGTTCCTGTCTCAATTTTAAAAAGAGCGCACTTTTAATAGTAAAACCACTAACTCTGTTAATAAATGAATGTTTTGAAAATGACTACCTTCCAAATGAGCTAAAAATTTCTAAAGTAATTTGCCTTTTCAAAAAAGGCAACCCATACTCGATGCGTAACTATAGACCTATTGCCTTGTTATCTGTTTTTTCTAAAGTTTTTAAAAAACTCTTGACTCAACAGATCACTAACTTCTTAGAGACAAACAATCTATTTTCACCGCAGCAATACGGTTTTAGAAAATCTATATCTACTTGATTCTGGTAACAAGGTGTTCGCACTATTTGTTGTTGACCTGCATTCGATTACAATATTGCTGCAAAAAATTGAACGGTATGGGCTGCGAGGCAAAATAAATAATTTGTTAAAAAGTTATTTAAATGGGAGAAAACAATTTTGTAGAATATTTAAAAGCTACATCTGATGTCGTGAAATTGATGTTGGTGTGCCCCAGGGTAGCGTCTTAGGGCCCCTGCTGTTTATACTCTATTGCAACGATTTAGGTCAATGTATTAGTTCCCATTACACAGCTTTTGCGGACGATATAACTGTTGTTTTCGGATAACGTTTTAGAATCCTTGACAGATTCGATATCATCAAATCTTGAAACATTAGATGCTTTCCTTAGCAAAAATAAACTAATTTTAAATATTGATAAAACCTACACAATGCAATTCCTTATGCGTTAACATCCTTATACGGAAAGCACATTAATCAGGAAAAATAACAAATCTATAGAACAAGTAGCCTCAATGAGATTACTGCATATTGAGCATGATATGTCTCTAAATTGGAAACAATAAGTGTGTACTGTTGCACAAAATTGTGCTAAGAATTTTTATGTTTTGAAAAGGTTAAAGCAAATCACTGACTTGCACGTAGTCAAAACTTTTTATTTCTCAAATTTTGAATCATTACTGAGATATGGTCTAGTTCTTTGGGGTAATTCAACAAACGTGAGACGAATGTTTATTCTACAGAAAAGAGCAATAAGGCTAATGTTCAATCTAAGCTTTCGTGAGTCATGTAGAGAGACTTTTATCAAAGAGAAGATACTTACTTTCCCGTGCATAGACATATTGGAAGTATTGAAATTTGTAAAAAACATTATCCGAGATTTCAATGAGCTAAATTCATTTCATTCTTATAACACAAGACATGGCAATGATCTAGCAATAAACAACCATCACACTAATTTATTTAGACAGAACCCGTATTATATGGGCGCGATAATATACACAAACTTCCCATGGAAATAAAACGGCATGCCGGACGCCATTTTAAAAACACAGTAAAAAACTTTCTAGTCAACCATGCATTTTATTCCATCGAAGAGTATTTCAATCAGTCATTTTAACTGATTTCTTTATGTGTTTGTTACTTACTCATAGAATATTGTTGTCTTTAACCGTTATATGTACTTATTTTATTGGTTACATTTGGTTTAATTTGACTTGTCCTATATCCAGAAATTGTGATCTCTTGGATTAATAAACATTATTATTTTTTTTTTTTTATTTTTTATTTTTTTTTTTATTAAAGGCATAAGGTCATTAGCAAAATTATTATTTTTTTTTTGTTGTCAATATTGATCCATACCTAATTGTGTAATAAATTACCAGGTTGTGTCTTGATTGACTAAGTGAAGTAGTTTTTTTTTTTAAATTTCAAGTGTGTGATTGATATTTTTTTTTTAGATGATGAAGGGTGAATTTTACGTGCTGGACTATTTAGGCTGGGATCCGACTTATTCAGAAATTGTAAGCACCGAAGCGCTTCGCCCAAAAAATAATAATCCGCCTATTGACAGAAGCATGTTCCACAAATTTGAAATTGAAGTTCCTGAAGACGTTCGAGAATAGTAATTATATTGAATTAACGTCGCAATTTATGTTGATAATTTATTTGTATAGTGCGAAAATTGAAAATGCTCACAAGGAATTCCAGAAAGCAATAGGGGCCGGTATAGTTAATTATATTCCTGAGAGAGGAGTCTTAGTTGTTATTTCACGTTATGAAAGCTGCCGCAAACGCGCCAGTATGTTACAAGATATGCACTTTAGAAATCTCTCACAGAAGGTATTATTGCTTAAAAGAACGGAGGAGGCAGCTCGCCAACTTGAAAGTACTAAACTGGCAACCGTTGGCGGGTAAGGTTACAGACTATATAATTTTTTGCATGATGTGTTTTACGGTTTTTCCCATAAGAAATTTTGACTTAGGTGTCTTAACAAAATAATGCATGTTAACTAATTTTCCTTTCCTGTTGCTAAATTGTAGTGCAAGCTTGCTTTATCACAGTGATTGTTCCGAACGTCCTTTAAAAATGGCATTGCCTCGTTTACCACTTTTGTAACGTTTCATTTATTGGCAAGCTGGCAGTACCGAATTTTGAAAACGAAACTGGAATTGAATTATCATACTATTTTTGGCAATTAACACTTGGCAATCAATTTTTAGTCATTTACAGGACTTTTGAAGGTAGGGTGTTTGGCATTTGTTAATTTTTACAAATTTTTAGCGATTCGACGAGCTGCAGGTATGTAAGTAGGTGCCTATCGGCGACTTTGGTGTCTTGTACGCTAAGAACGAAATATATTAATGAACTCTTTACCCTTGTTACCCGACATTCGCTATCATTTTCGTTCGTGACATTACATTTTTGATGCCTAAAATTAATATTTAGCCAGGAAAGGACAATGGAGCAATAATTTGAATTATACCTTGACACTTTGTTTCTCTTTCAGCAAATATAAATCCATGTACCAACGGGTCTCAAATTATGACGCTGGGCGGGGTGGCTCCAGGTGAGATAATGCCCGCAACAGTATGCACGTAGTACCTCTTTCTCCTGGTTCTTCCTGGCAGTATTAATTTTATGGCAATTGTAAATATATAAATATCATAGATCTTCGTTAAACTGTTTGCATTTCTTGTAGCATGATTGTATATATATATATATCCTTATTATTTTTTCCGGCATCTACTTTTAGATTTTCTACTGCCAGGAATTTTAAATCTCTTGTTCATTCGGTGAAACGCTTTTGTCACATCATTTTCTTTGTCGGTTAGTGTTTGTGCCAGATATCTTAATTTCCTTGCGCTTATGCATGAGTAGGTATATTGCTCATCATTATAAAGGTATGGTTTTGCAACTAAAAAGAATGCTGTATTGGTTTTTACTAACGGAATAAATTTGTAACTGTGGAACTGATGAAAGCGGTCAAACCAGTAATCATTGTAACATTTCAGATATTCTGACGAATTTAATGTTAGGGAAGACTTAATGGGGCTTGCTATCGGAGCGCACGGGGCGAACATACAACAAGCTAGAAAAGTCGATGGCATAACAAATATTGAATTAGAAGAAAATTCGTGTACTTTTAAAATATACGGAGAGGTATTTTTCTTTTCGACATTTGCTTTGTCACACAATTTCTTTGTCGTAGTCGGACGAGGCTGTGAAGAAAGCACGATCGATGTTGGAATATAGCGAAGAATCTCTACAGGTGCCCCGGACATTAGTTGGAAAAGTTATTGGTAAAAATGGAAGGATTATACAGGAAATTGTCGACAAGAGCGGGGTAGTAAGTATGAATTAATTCGAGCAACATCCACAAAATTGGTGGTTTTTTTTTTTCATAAAGTTTAAACTCGAGATAGCCGGTCATAGAAATGTGGGTTTCCATTAGATACCTACTACAGGTCATTATGAGGCAAATACACAAAGTTCCCTCCAGCCTTAGGAAGTGAACCACCCACATTTTACATTCTTTACTCTTTGATTTTCACTTGAAAGTTGACAAAGTAAAATAAGATATGCAAGAAACTTAAATGTGACCTGCACTGTACTGACAAGTCTTATTTACAGTTATTTACTATGGGTGTCATTGTTTTGTAAGTGTAGTTCAGTTTTAAGGTCGCTTTTTAACGCGAGCAAATAGCATCTGCACCACTTGCAGGTTGCAGTGGTTCTGCTCACTTTCAGTCACGAAGAAAAGGAGGGGCTCAAACATCAGAACAAGTTTTGGAAAATAAGAAAGATCATTTTGAAAGGTCTCGACGTGAAGAAGACCGGTTTGACATTACTGGAAAAGCCTTCTCTACAAAATTACTAGGGGTTCTAAAATAGCAAATGCTCATTGCTAAAAAATTGATGAAGGACACTTTGTTTCAAACCGAAATGGGTCGCTTAACCATACCTATACAGAAGAACGAAGGCGGATGGACGCCATCTTTCCGGGAAATATGATGTGTGTGTTCAAGAACATTCTAGAATATTCGAGAAAGTGAGGGGCGTTTGATATATAAGAAAATCGAATTGCCTTCAGGCAGTTCCAATTTCAACGCCAAAGTAATAAATAGTTCGCGTTGTTATAAATTGCGTATTCGTGATATATGTTGACTGTTTTAAATATTCATTGCATAAATTTATTGTTAATTAATTGGAAATAATAAATAAAGAATGTAATTAAATGTATATTACACTAGTTTTGGTTGGGATTAAAGTATAAAACTTAGATGAAATTCTGGTACTGAACAGTACACTTTGCTCACAGTAGAACATTTTTTCTCTTGAAACAGTTTTCAAATTTTAGGCGAAAATCAGAAAAAATCTTTGTAGGAAGACTCGGTGCACTTCCTAGGATGGGAATGTGTAGCCTCTTAATGACCCTAAGTTGAAAGTGTTGCCTTCTTGTGGATATTCATCGACTGCAGTATTTGTCTTAATTGTTTAATTTTTAGGTGAGAGTGAAGATAGAAGGAGATAACGAACCGCAGCCTACTATCCCTCGAGAAGAAGGTCAAGTGCCCTTTGTGTTTGTAGGTACTGTTGACAGTATAATGAACGCAAAGGTTCTTCTCGAGTACCACTTGGCACATTTGAAAGTAAGCCATATTAAGTCGAACTGTAGTTTTACTATATCCTGCCTTTCCAGGAAGTGGAGCAGTTACGTCAAGAAAAATTAGAAATTGATCAACAGTTACGTAGTATACATGGCTCGACGGTAGGCTCAATGCAGAATGTATCGATGTCGAGAAGGAACGATCGAGGATACAATTCTGACATGGACGGTGGATCAAGGGGAGGTCGCGGTGGCGGTACAATGAGGGGTCGAGGTGGCAGAGGACGAGGCGGACCCGGTCGTAATAGTGATTCCCGTTACAATCCTGGTAGTACTATCTCAGATTTTCTTAATAATGTGGACAAAAGGAAAGGGTTAGGTAATGACAGGGGGCGTGGTCCGACCACTAATGGTAGAGTACCACGTTCTGGTCCGGGGGGAGATCGACCCATTCGCGATAGAGTAAATAAAGGGAGAACATCTGTCGATAATCTCGCAGATGGAGATGGGGAACAGAAGTGATTTTCGTATGCCTATATTAGGATCTCTTTGATCAACCTCCCATCTACTACTGCTCTTTAGTAAGACATAACATGGGGCTGGCTTTATGCATCACATTTCTGTTGTTCTTTTTTACCCAAGAATTTAAACGAAAAGCGGATTAAGACGGAGCTGATGTATAAAGCCTATCCATGATTTCAAGCAGAAAACAGACTGACCCGGCTGACGACCACTATTACGAATTGTTCACTATGAATAAATAAATGTAAATGGACAAAAAATCTTACGATGAGGGAATTTACACTACTTAATCGATAGTAAATAAGAAAGAATAGGAAACAGTTACCAAATCAAAAATCTATCAATATTTCTATTTCTTGTCACGGTTTATTTACCAAATTTATATTTTACCCAAAATGAAGTTTTTAGGTGTCAATTTGGCACCATTTTTCTGGACGCCAATAACAGTTCTAAAACTGCTTAAAATTGTAGAGATTCTTTGTAACGAACTATTTTTTTTTATTTACCGTGGGAGCATGCTTCATGTTGTAAATATTTCTGCCTATGTATTACTTCTCGCCCTAGGTGCATATTTTTTTCAAAACGAATCATTTCAATAGTCCCATTCCTCTTCAGTGTGGTCACACATATAACGAGCCCTTGAAACTGGCATCTGTTACTTTAAAAATTTACAAGAGGTGAATTTTGCAATTACGGAAATTCCAATTTGTATTTTAAAATTTGGTACATTCCAATAGTTGAAATAGTTGATGAGGCAATGTGCCACATGTAGTAAAAATTACTCCGTAAATGTGAAAATTAGCATTTGTTCCAAATTGAAAATATAACACATATTGGAAAGGGCTTATATGTTTTTGGATGTTTACATTATTTAAAAATTAATAAATTAAATTCCAAAAATTGAAAACTAATACGGTTGATTGGCGTAAAAAATTTTTTCTGCAAAAAACTTGAATACATTTTTGCTCTAAAATAATTTGGGGAACCAATAATCGCATGTTAAGAATTTTACATTGAAATCCCTATGATGCGTTACGCAAGTCACCACCCTGTATAGTCCAATCAAATTAGCTCAAAAAGTAGTCTACTGGATGTTGTCATTTCACTCAACGAGACCAAGTGTATTGTAAGTAAAAAAATCCGCTGAATCCGAAAGTCATAGTCCACCTGGCCGGAAACTCCCGGAACATATTGTTATAAGCAAAAAACTTCAATTATGTCGTTAACTATTGCTGTAAGGGAAAAATGGAGAGTAATGAATTTGTTTGAAATCGAATTTTTTATAAGATACAGTTGGTATTAAACGATTATTTTGAAATGTTATTGTGCTTTACGGAAAAATATAAAAAAGGAATCCCTAAAATTAACAATCTGTTTTTACTAAGTAAAATTCACCCGATCTGTTTGAAAATCCGTATTTGGTCACTTCTTTTGATGACAAAACAATATGACAAACCCAATCACCGTAGGTATCTTAGTCATTGATTATTTAAATAAACAAATTAAAAATTGACCCAATGATGATGATTTTTGTAAATCGACGGACTGCGGAATTTTTTTTCAAAATTTACAAAACTTTTGCAGCACCCGTAATACATAACTGAAACTAAGAGTTGTATTTTCGCTTTTAATTTCGTAAAAATTTGGTTTCTAGAGATCTGGAAACATGTAAATAAGGAATCTAAATGTGGTTTTTAAAACCTTAAAAATTACAAAGAGCTTATGGTGAAACTATTTTTTTGAATTCTTCTTGCATATCAAGGTAATTTGGTATTTTACGATTTTCCATTTTTTTTAGATGTTATAATTTCTTTTCATTTAGAACGGTAAAATCTTTGGGTAAGAATTTTGAAAAAATTATTCAAAATCAAAAAGAGCATCCCCAAAAACCTACTTACTTAATGCAGCATTGTTAATATTAATAAAGTAAATTTGGAAACCTTATTTTGGCCCCCTTTGCCCCTAAACGTTTTTTGACATGCTTGTGTAAAAATAGCATTAATAGGACAATTTTGTTTCCTATCCCAAATATGTGACTTTAATTTTAGGTCTTTTTTCTGTATTCTTTCAGGTGTTTTCCAATCTATTGTAAGTATTGTGCTCTTATGCAGGCTCTTTTTTGCTTGCTTCATTTTACAATTTTATGATGCTTAGCAAAATTCTATTAAAAATAAATTAATACTTCATATAATTTGAATAATTACAAGAAAATTTTGCAAGTTTGCGGACAATTTGCGCCCGGATAATTCGTTCCCGAACTATTCGCGCCCAGATAATTTGCGTCCGGATAATTCGCAGCCGACACCGTAGTAATCGCAAGCAATAAATGATTATCTCCACATCAGTGTTCTCGCTTGCCATGTCATTAATCCAAATATTCTTGTTGGATAACTCACGTTCCCACGGACCACAATTTAGTTTGGGAATGTATTAACAAATTTTCTTCTGTCGCAATGCTTTGATTGGTTGACTGTAGCATACATTAATATTTATTGATTGTTCTAGCAGGTCTAATGGATCTTTCAAAAACTGCTTGTGTCAAATATTCTATTTTCGCAAACATTGCTCCTACACTGAGACCCTTCTAAATTCTCTGTGCCCCACTATCAAGTAATATTCGCCCATTAAAATTCCATAATCCTATTCTGAGTGTCCATAATCATAACTGGCACTGTTGTCTCTTCTTGTCTATCATTGTCTTTCAGACGAGCTGGGATAGATAAAATAGCAAAACGCTTCCTGGACAACTTATTTATTTTCTACAAATTCTTGCTCCATGGCCTCCTGCCAAACAACAAAAACATTTCTTCTTCATTCTTTCCCACATTATTCTTATTTTCTTTATTTATTTTATTTTTGTTTTCCTATTAGTTGTTTTTGTGGGAATAAACATTATTATTTTATGCACCTTTGCTCTTCTCAATTCTAAAGTTAAATCCTGTGCTTTTATACATCTGTCATTATCATGATTCCCCTCACAAAATACCAACTGCCGTCTTTAGGAACTGTACAGGGTGATCCAAGTTGGACACTTTCTTATGCAAACCCTCTTTATTTTAACAGATAGAACAAAAGACCCTAGATGTCTGGAGTTCAATTTTAAAGAGAAAAATCACTAGCGCAAACAAAATTCAGCTATCTCTAAACGTTTGACCGCTAGGGGGCGTTTCTCAAATTCAGTCGATTTCTTTAATGCCCATAACTTGGCAAAATGTTTCTTATAGCACTTTTAATGTAGAATCCATCGCTATACACAGTTTTTATACAGGGTGTTTGGTTTTTCTTATACAACCTTAAACTTTTCATATGGACCATCGTATATATTTTGGAGTTTTTGAAGAATGTAAAAATTCCTAAATTTTGATGTATCACTTATTATTATTATTATTATTTCTAATGTTACATTTTATACATTAAAATATTTTTATTCCAGACATCTAGTTTTCCATGGTGAACAAAAGGTGGCAGGATTGTTTAAAACGACAAGTTCTTGATTATCTGCATTTTTATACAGGGTGGTGACTTGTGTAACGCATCATAGGGATTTCAATGTAAAATTCATAACATGCGATTATTGGCTTCCCAAATTATTTTAGAGCAAAAATGTATTAAAGTTTTTTGTAGAAAAAATTTTTTTACGCCAACCAACTGTATTAGTTTTCAATTTTTTGCATAATAAAGACGGAAAATTGGAAAAATACAACCCCATCCACGATGCCATGGAATTTTCTAAAACAAAAAGATGTCCAGTTGTCAATTAGCACCAGTTCGAAATGGATTTTATGATCGACTTGGTTACTGTCTTGTAGTTAATGGTGACTTATTGGAACATTTATTGTAAATTGTTATATTAGGAAACCGTTTTTAGTAATTTGGTCTTTCTTTATGTTGAATTCGCTGTTCTAAATTTAATACTTTTTGATAGAATTTGATTTGTTTTATAGCAGACATTCAATGGTATTGGCGTAGTTTTTGTATTATAATATTCCATGGCATCACAGATTATTGACAAAGATGGGGGTTTTACAATTTTCTCTTTATTATGCAAAAAATTGAAAACTAATACGGTACGGTAATACGTAAAAAAATTTTTTCTACAAAAAACCTTAATACATTTTTGCTCTAAAATAATTTGGGGAGCCAATAATCGCATGTAATGAAATTTACATTGAAATCCCTATGATGCGTTACGCAAGTCACCACCCTGTATATATTACATACATATTATATTATTTATTTTTTATTTACATTTTATTATTATGACATTTTTGTTACTTGGCAACAACTACTGAGAGTTTTTGATGCGTTTCCACGTATATGTTTTGGGGATGAATTGCCCTAGGAGCGAATTCTCCGGGTGCAAATTGTCCTGGGAGCAAATTATCTGGGCGTAAATTGTCCTACAACCCTTAACTACTTATGGATTCCATTGTTGTCTTCACTTCCGGTAGTATAAGCTATAATAATATAGTGTGGGCAGTAGTATCAGAATATTTTGGAACTGACACATGTATTCTGAAATCGAAATTTTCATGGACCCTAGAAATTTCAAATCTCCCAGAAAGTTAGACGACTGTTCTTTGTGTGGCCACACAATCTGTTAATTTAACCCATGAACCATATTAGTTTTTGTTTAAGAGAAAAATTATCATTAATTCATTATATGACCAGCTCTGCAATCATCTTATCTAACTTTTTAAACGAGAATGAATCTCGAGTTGTTTGTTTTTTTTTTTTGTTATTTAATTTTCACAAAATGGTGCGTTAAAAGAATTAATTTAAAGGTTTAAAATTGAGCTGATGAGATTTGTTATTAATTTTTACACTATGCACCTAGGCCTAATTTTGTATTTAAGCACGTTTAATTACTTGAGACTGTAATGTATTTTGTTTATTACAGTTAAATTTTTGTTACATATATACGTATATAAGAGCCCTTGTCTCTACGATGTGGACATTATATATATACTCACGACGATGTTTACTGTAACGGTAGGTGCAGTTTGAATGTATTTTATGTAAACAATTTTTGGAATGATGACAAGTTTATTTTAAAAGCAAAAATCAATCTATTTGTCTACATTACCAATTGAAACAGTAATTCGCGGACAAGGATTTTTTTTACTATATTACTCGACAGCTGCACCCTCCAAATAGGAACTATGGACATATTTATTTGTCTTTAAAATAGATAACCCAATTGACAAATATTTATATCTTCCGCTAAAGCTTGTATATAAGAAAATTCACAAACTAGCTTTTTATAAATTATTTGTCAATGGGAATTGAAGTTAGTAAACCCCATGAGGCTCAATACTGATCTTGAAGTAATAAAAGAAAATACCTTTGCTGAAAGGGTACTCAGGTCAAGCTCTTTTTCATTAGCGAAGCCATGTTGTGAGTATGCATCTCATATGTAAATTCTTTTGACCATCACATTGGGATGGTCAAAGAAGGAGCTTATTGTGAGTTTGCTAACGTGCTCTAGAAGCACCTATAACTGCCATAGAACTCAAGACTGGCTCATACTCATGTCAAATCTTATTGTGAAAGACTTTTTTAGAAATATAATTATTATAAAAAAATGTGTTTCATTTGACATGGAGCACAGACTCGTATCCTTTCAGCAAAATGGCTCTGTTATTACCATAAGTGTTTTTTGAACTGTTTTTGCATGTTGCATGTTTGCTTTGAGGTTTTGGAGTCTGTGCTTTCATTTTGCTCTACTCTCCTACCTTAATTTTACGTACAAAGTCGAGTTACCTACTTCTTTCTTTTATACACACTACTGAGCCTTTGCTGCATTAAAGACTTACTTGACGGTCAAGTATAACGTTTAATGTATTTAGGTTCACGTCATCAAACACCTGACACTAGCGATGAACGCATAAGAGATTTGCCTCCCCGACAGTTTGGTCCTCCAAGAGGTCATCAAAGACCGGGACTTAGACGTGATAATCGTAAGGACGATAGGCGTAGAACTACCGATGAAGAAGATACAGTGTTGGATAGTCAAGAAGTTTCTAGTGTAGATCGCGGTAAGTGAACAATGTTCGTAGTTATGTAAGTTTCCCTACTTGTAACAATGTTTTTTCTAATAAAAGGTGTGTATACATATATATTTAAGGAAAATTAGATGTATGCGTCTGACTGTTGTAAAAGCATGTAAGAATGTCTGATGCTTGTCTTAGACTCCGTGTCCAGTGCAGAAGCTATGTCTTCGACAGGTAGCCGGAGCAATCGTAGACGTAGACGTCAAACAAGGCAGCGTAGTCGTACTCCTTCGGTATTTGCTAATGACAACCCTGGTAAGTCGCTAGGCTGCTGTTTCTGCTAACGATTCGTGAGACGTGCTTGTTAGCGAATGAGAGGCTCTAAATGCTTGGTTTCTTAATGATGGATAGGCACACATCATCAATTGAAATAATGTATCTTTGTGTAATTGTTTCACTATCACAAAAAATCTCTGCTTTGAATAACAACTCGTAACAAGCCACAAATAATTCAAACCTGTTCACTATAGAAGTGAAACACATCTTCATACTCACACTTCACATAAGGTTAATTGGAACAAATGGACCAGAAATGGATTGTTATTTGTTAAATTTTGGACAAAGAACATAGGTCAACCTTCACCCATCTGTTTACCGAGTGAAATACCTTTTTAGCAATCTTGATTATGTAAATGGTTGCCTAAAAAAATTAAGTCAAGACTACCTTTAATTAAAATTAATGTAATTATTATTTCTGTCTGCTTTTATCATATGGAGAGAGCGCAGGCGCACTCACTCCTTTCGATGCGTATACTACGAGCTGCGCGCGAGAGAGAAACGTGTATTGTTCTGTGTGAAAGAGAAGGACGCAACGTAACAACTGCTTGTGGTGTAGGCATTGAATGTAAGAGAGTGCGCATGCGCTCTCTCCATGTGATAGAAAGTGAGAAATGTTAATTAATAATTTTAATAAAGGGTAGTGTTTTTTTTACATATTAAAATTGTTAAAAAATGTATTTCACTCGGTAAACAGAAGATTGACTACTACAAATTTGAATCCACTTGTTATTTTCCGTATTCTTGCTGTGACTTCTGAGAAGAATGATTTTGCCCTTACCAATATCCATGGTCTACATGAAATTTTTGACACACTTGGATTATGTCATGTCTTTTGTTTGAAGATGGACGTCTCTATTTTGTTGCACAATGTCAATTGATCTTGTGGTTGGTCTTATTTTCCATAAATTATTCTTTTGCTACTGAAGTGAAAAATGCATCTTTCTCACATGCACTGTATGCGTGGGTTGAAAAACTAATTAAGACGGTATGGTATTTTAAGAGAACATTGCTAGACGTCTATCACTTCCATTTTTCAACCTATCACAAAAACAATATGTAGTAAAGTCAGTTAAAAAGTGTTCCCAGTTCAATGACTTAGCACAATTAAAAACCCTTTCGTCACAGATCTACACATACACAGATTGCTAACCTTATGCATTTTTTGGGAAACAAATTTAGGTATACTTAAAAGCGCCCTCTATTGCGGAGCAGTAGAAACATGTACCGTTTAAAACTGTAATATGACGCTTATGGATTTATGCATTAGATGTCGCTGCAAAAAATTTAAAGCGGTAAAATGTGCATATAATCCAGTTTAATTGTATTTTTACCAGGAAAGTTGTGGGGTAGTTTTGATTTCTTTGATTCTATATGTTTTTTGGGGTGCCGAATCCGAATCCGAGGTTTGCTAACAAAATTTCATGACGCAACATTGAAAAAAATACAAAAAAGTTGAAAAGGATATTTTTTTAGCAGTTTTGTGCTTACAACTGGAAAACTATCAACTTTTCGAAAATAACCTCCCTATCTTATATCTTATCGACGTGGTAAAGAGTGTAACGTTAATGATGGCAGAGATATACATAGTTTGTAAGTATGCCTTTGCGGTTAGCAATCTGTCAAGACCTTTAAAGCCGCAAATAGTTTCCGCCAACTTCAAAAAACCTTCACGATTCTTTAAGAACCTGCCCTATGTTCGTGTGTATCTGTGACCACAGGGACCCGCTTTTAATAACTCCCTTACGACGAATGAGTAGCTCCAGTGTTAAATTAAACAATTATGGCTCAACGTACCTCCTATCATATCATACCACTGTAATAATACGAATATTAAGGAATTCGAATTGTGCAAACTTTAATGTTGTTTCAGCGACATCTAACGCATAAATCCATAAGCGTCATATTACAGTTTTAAACGATACATGTTTATACTGCTCCGCAGTAGAGGGCGCTTTTAAGTATACCTAAATTTGTTTCCCAAAAAATGCATAAGGTTAGCAATCTGTGTATGTGTAGATCTGTGCTTTCGTACATAAAAAGTTTGGTCTTACATGTTGGGTAGAACTACAGTGACTTTATAGTGACAGTGGCGACAATAGGTGTTCGGCCGCCATTTTGCGTCAAAAAGTTGGCAACACACAATACACGTGGTCTAGTAAAATACGTATAATTATGATTTTCGCTACCATTGAGTAAGTCTAATTGAAAACACTTTTTGATCATCCCACAGGTCACACATTAGTGGGTTCAGCATCATATCTTTCAACTTCCACAGCTCCGCCTGAGTGGATGGTCCAGATTCCATCAACTGCTTTCTGAAAACCATCCTTTCAATTGAACGTCTTACTCTGCCTCGTCAACATAATCTCTCACTGCGACTCGAATATGGTATCGCGTTTCACAACAATATCCTCAATTACTGCCACATTGTCACACATATTAGGTTCCGCCACATTCGTTTTCAGCTATTTTTCGATGCGTTTGTCCTCCAATGCTAATTGCACGCGGAAATACAATTAGGTACTGAATTCACGGCCATCGAAACACAAATTTTTCATCGTCTGCCTCTGGCATTTGACTGCAGAAGTCGCTAATGTCAGGCTGTCACCTGTCATGATACTATTTCTTGCAGGAATATCATGGCACCTGTACTTCAAATTTGTCAACCAGTGACGTATATAGAAGCGCGGGAATGCGCGTGAGCATATCTATTACCGGAAACACGTGAAATTTGACGCAAAATGGCGGCCGATCTCAACGACCAATCAAAAATTAAACACTATTGTCGCTACTGTCTCTATAAAGTCACTGTACGTAGAACCAAATGTTTTTTTCTTCTGCATTGTTTTGTAAGTGAGTAACCCCTTAGCCGATGTAAGTTAGGTTAAGGTAAGTACATTGCAGATGACATGAGATGACTAATCCAATACTTATTGTACTTTTAGTACATTTTTGATCATACAAAATTTAAAAATCAAGACAAATAGGAACATATCATCCTTCTACCACCAAATCAAAGAGGGCCTGTCACAAAATCCTTATTAATGTATAAATCTCGCAAGTTGCTTACAGGCAATCTGCCATATAAGGATATGCGGTCTATTGTACTTCATAATTGTCTCAAACTGAAAAGTACATTTAATTGACATATGCATAAATTCTGTGGAAAGTCGTCTTTCTTTATTTGTAACATGTCTCTAATACTACAGACTTCACCTGCACATTTGTAACTTGCTTTGATACTCCGCAAGACTACTAATGTGGCTATTAACAGACTGGATTGTCTATGTAACATGACCTAAACGTACTCGAATTAAAGCATTTTGTGTTGCAGTTAACAATGGTCATCCTGCGGGAGGTTCAGGAGATCAGCAAACAAACATACCTCCAATGCCGGGCACAGAATCAAAACAACAGCAACCTAAAACACGGCCGAACAAACCACCGCCGGCGTCTCGTCGTAACGATCCTAAACCTAAGGAAACACTCGTAAATGGTACAACTGCTTAAAGTTGCTACGTACTGTGCCAAAGTATTATGAAGGTTGTATTACTAATTACCAGTGTGTGCTTCAAATGTAAGCAGGAACTTCATAAAATAAGTTCTCCCCCCCCCCCCCCCTCATCTTGTTGATGTTGTGTTTCATATCCTTTCTTCAGCATAGTATAATAAATAGAGGGCGGACGGCTGCCCTGCTCCTGGCCGAAACAAAGTGACTGTTGGGTTCTGTGAACCATGAGTCCACCATGTTGGTTTAGACTGTTTTTGATGTGTGTGGCTTAAATTGCGCATCTTCTCATTATTCAAACAGAAGCGGATACTGTTTTATTTCATAAATAATGTGTGGTTTAGTAAGTACTTTTCTAAACTGTAATATTTCAATGTTATTTATATAGCGCACACTTTCTATAGTTTTAAATTGCTTACACTTTATTATTAAAAAAACAAAAAAATACTAGTTGGTTTTAAGAAATTTGTTAATTTATGTTCCTTTACTATTTATTTTTTTTTTATTGTTTTGTAAGAATTAGTTACTATTTGTTACCTCGAGAATTCTTCAACGGTTGTATATCATTTAAGAAGGAAGTGTATAAATGAAAAGGAAGAAATGAAAACCAACTGATGTAAATAGGCACATTTTTGAAATTCAGTTTCTTTAGGTTTAGATGCTTTATTTATGATTTGTTACACCTTTTTGCCATGTATTAACTCTAGTAAATAAATTTTTGCATTGAATAAAGTAATAGAACTGCATTTGATTTTCTAAATCATTTTTTTATAATTGTGTTGTTACTCTGTAAACTTATTTCATTATGAAAATGTTTTACATCAATATGTCTTGTAACATTATAACCCGTAATATCTTTTCTTTCATAGCGACAAATGAGCGTTTCGTATCTACTATGGAAACTGTTCTGATTCTTCTGTTTAGTATTATTGTGATAAATTTATATATGCACGAGCGACTTCCGGCACAGGACGTGTCAATGTTGAAGGTTCAACATGAATTCAATTCCAATGAAGCCTCCAGTTTGAAAAATGGATTTTCCATTTTTACTGGTAAAGAATGGGAAGAAAATTAAATTCAAAAGCAAACTTATTTTCTGTACTTTGTGCAACAAACGTTCCATTTAAAATAAGAAGTGTGCATACATATCACCAACGTTCTCATATATTTTCTTTGTCCTTTAAAATCCTTTTCTATGTTAAGGAAAACCCTATAAGACAATTCCCCCTCTATAAGCTTATATGAGATTCTAGATCAAGAACTACAATTATGGAGCGACATAAAAACAAGAATTAATAGACTTATCTATCAAAAATTTCAAACATCATTTTTGATCATTTCAGCAGACCCAATTAAGAGTCTTGGTCCAATTTTTCAACTGCACACTCGGAAAATTGTTCCATAGTTCCGTTGCCTGTACACAAAACGATCTGTATCTCACAATTATACAAAGATTGTTAGTACAAGCATTGAATAAGTAACCTATAATTACTTATTCAATGGTATCATATGTGTAAAAACTTGGGAGTGTGGTGTGAATAATATTTTAAATAGAGCATGTATCAGGAATTTATTATCTTATGCATAGAAAATGAAGGTCTTTGATCAAATCTCTACCATTATATTGATAGGTGATCAACGAGATCATTTTTTGTATTCTATTATGATCCAAACTAATATTTTAAAACAAGGAACCTGTAAAGAAAAATGGGATTTATTTTTCTCAAGCCATTTTACATTCGTATTTATGAAAGTTCAATGAAATCAGAGCGTCATTGTGACGCCATCTTGCGTTATAAAAAATTTTTATTACAGAGCGTGCCATGGGCATTTGTAAAATAAATAGGAAGTGACACTCTAGTAAGGTCATATGATATGGGAGAGATCTCGCTGGGTAAAGCAGATGTAATGCTCTGGAACACAATGAAGAGGCTTTATGGTACTTTTGAGGATTTCTAGCCTCTTTCTAAACTCTTATCAGAACCATTGTATACCTACACAAGACCAAAAAGGATTCGCCCTGTTAAGCTATTTTTAATTTACCATACTTAGTAAAACTGAGGACTTGCGATCGCTTATATTTAACAACTAGTAAACATTTTAAATATCTTGGGCTAACATCAGAATTAAGCATTAATAAAATAAGAAAACAATTGAAAGATGTAGCGTTATTTAACTATTTTAACAAAAAAAAGTTATTGAAATTCCAGCTGAGATAAATTTAAATGAAATGGATAATAACGTGAACAATAAACAATGCAAATACAATAAACAACAATTAACTGAAAGATGAACACTAAAAAATGCAAAAAGTTTCCAACCATAAGCAACGATTAACCGAAAGAGAACAATAATAAATAACGCAAAAGACAACAATTCTTCGCGAAAAAATACATTAAATTTACCCAAAATTGTCCTGAAACCCTCATTTTCATGACTACTTCGTGTCAGGAAATTTGAGTTTCCATGACAAAGGCAGAGCAGACTACGTTTCCTGCCCCTTGTCACTTTACTAGCCGCACCTGTCACTTTACCGGCCGCATTTGTGACATTTCTAATGTCTATAATGACTCCTGTCTGCATCACTGACAGATTGACATTAATCAAGAGTTTTATTTACAAATTGAAATGTTACATTACAATACGATTTCGGGTAAAATTTAATACAAAACTCGTCAGTGAAATGACATTACTTGACTCAGAAATTAAAGTACTCGACCCCAAGGGGTCTCGCACTTCAATATTTCCTCGCCAGTAATATGTCATATTTTCCTGACTTATGTAAATAACTATTACATATATGGTGCGTTCAACCTAGGACACGTGGTAAGTATATACATACCTATCTTATATCCAAATATCAACAATAATAAAAGTCGTTTTAAAAAATATGCCGCACTAGTTCTTCTGCTTTTATTTATTCATTTATGAGAAGTGCAGAGCTGGGTACTGCTCGCGAGCGTTCCGCTAGAAAAAGCGCTCCAAGCGGAAAAATCGCTTGCGAGCACTTCTCGGAGCGGCCGCTTGGTGCTCGATACTCGAGCGCTTTTTTCAGCCCACGAACGGTTTTTCCGCTCATGAGCGTTTTTTTCCGCTCGCAAGCTCTTTTCCGCTACTGTGCGCCTTTTCCGCTCCTGAACGATTTTTTCGACCGTGAGCGCTTTTAACTGCCCTCAAGCCCTGAAGAATTAAGCGCCGCTCGCTAGCGTATTTTCCGCTCCTGAACGGTGTTTTCCACTCCCGAGCGCTTTTTCCGCTCAAGAGCACTTTTCCCGAGCGGTCGCGATAAACCGCTCGAGCACTTTTAGGAGTGCTCGGAGCTCGCAAGCGGTTTCGCTTTGCAAAACAACTGGATATTCGCGAGCATTTTTGAGAAAATTAGAGCGCTCGTCGCTCGAGCGGTTTTTTTAGAACGCGCGGCCCAGCTCTGGAGAGGTGGTCCAAAAATTGAGTAGGTACTACTTTGTGTGTATAATAGGGTGTTATTTATAATTCTGTCTGGTTAATCTTCTCTATTATGCTCTCAACTCTCAAATGTATGAGTTGAAATTCATTTTTGATGTATCCAGTAAAAATAATAGGTCGCACTATGCTGCCGTAACCGGTAAACAGCCATTTTATGGAGGCTGCGCCCTCTCAAGGTGATGATTAGGGGGGGGGGGGTGCACCTCCGTGTCTAAGTGTGTTACTTTCATCCTACCCGTGTAGGAGCGGGAAAGAATACTCCTACTGCAGAGACAGAGGGCCACAGTCGACAAAACAAAAGTAACTGCGCCAAGTTTTAATTTGTGAAATGCATTTACCTATTGTCTAGTATATGTACCAAAATTAGAGACAAACAGGTGTTTCCGATTATTTACATGCGAGCGACTACCGGGATAGGGCCCTTTCAATATTGAACGAAAAGTAATCATTTTGCCCATCACTTTCGCAAGGGTATTCATCAGTTCAAAGTGCATAAAGTTGCTCTCGTTTGCCTCATTAATAATTCTTACATATTTTATTTTTAATTGTTATTTTTGTTTCTTGTCCCGATTAAGCCCCTACGAAAGTGGGCGAAACGGTCATATCCCGGAAATCCACGGCCGCCATCGAATTGATGGGCACAGTTTTTAGAAGTCGGGGGATCGCGCGTATGAAAATTCTATTTATTTATATGTGACGCAAGCCTTCCGGGAAATATGACGTGTTTTGTTTTAGAGCATTCGAGAAGATTTGGGACCACTCGAGAGCACTCGACTTTACAATATAAGCAAATCGAATTGCATTTCAGTGCAGTTGCAATTACAACGTCGAAGTAAAAAATAGTTCGTGCTGTTATAAATTGTGTATGTGTGAGTGATAAATAATATTTTGACTGTTATAAATTGATTCGTTTCAAGACTGTTATAAATGTAATATTATTATAATTCATATAAATAAAGCACGTAGTTAAATTTACGTTACAGTAGTATTATTTTATGTACACGAACATAACTTGCCACAATTTTTCTTATGCCGTCATAAAAAATAACGTTTATTTTTTCAATAACAAATTAAGCAAGTATATTCCTGGATATACCTAAAGACGAATTATAAATATTTGACAAAAATTAGAAGTCAATAAATCAAGCTCGTGTTAACTCAATTTTCATTAATTCGGGGCGATGACTTCTTGGGTCTTGTTCTTCTTCTTCTTCTTCTTTTTCTTCTTTTTTTTGGGTTCCTCATCATGATCAGTGGACTCGTAATCAATAAATGACTTAAAGCTGGTAATGATATTTGCTAGGCCAATTTGACTTGAGGGTATCATAATCGATGTATCTGAAAGTGATGAGAAAGTAAATTAATTTGTGTGTGCCTATTACCCACCTTTATTTTGTATAACCGCCTGTACCAATTGCTTCGAAGCCCCCTCAAGAAAACCAGTAAGACCGTTTGAAGCGAAATTTAATTGACTACCCCATCTTGAGCCTGGACGTTTTTCAAAAACGACCGTTTCATTTGATGCTGACTCAATTTGGTTGCTTGTCTAAAACAATGTTCTATTTTCTACTATTTGTGTAGGCGTGCGACTTACTGTCTCGGGAATATCAAACACGCCTTTCAAATACTGATCAAAGTTTTTGAAAATGTGTTCGTCTGCAAACACCGTATTTATGAAGTTTGCAAAATGCGGCTGTAGTATATCCCAAATGGAGGTGGCAGTCTTTCTAATTGCTACTTCCCTTCCTGACGATGAGGGCAATGGTGAGATGATCTAAATTTAAGGTCAGGATTTTACCTATCTGAAAGCTTCACTCACTCACCTGTACATTTGCTACTAATAGAACTATAAGGGCAATCCAACGGATACACATTTTG